TTCGTTAGAATTAAATACCGGTGCACAAGGCACCAAATTTTTACTTGGACACGGCCAAGATTTTAAATATGAAATAATCTCATATTTTGATTGGTCTCGGGTTCGATTCCCGATTCAGCGATTTTCGGATCTATATTTTTCTCTTGCATTCATTTATTTATTTTCCGTAGGGGGGTTAAAGGGTATTGAAATTAAATCTCAAATATGAGATTATTTCATATTTAAATCTTGGCCGTGTCCAAGTAAAAATTTGGTGCCTTGTGCACCGGTATTTAATTCTAACGAAAATTATTTAGTTTCGTTAGGATAACGCATTGTCATCCGCGATTTGGCTCTTGTTGCCCGTCTTATACGTTAAATTTATATTTATATTACAGAGCCTTGTTAAAACTCTTATATTTGATACACGCTGGCTTAAAAAATGCGTTTGTTTACCAACATTAATATATATAACAGAGAAAAGTATAGAATCGAAAGGATCTGAATAGCTCAGCTGGAAGAGCAGTCGCCCGGCAAGTGAAAGGTCTCGGGTTCGATTCCCGATTCAGCGATTTTCGGATCTATATTTTTCTCTTGCATTCATTTATTTATTTTCCGTAGGGGGGTTAAAGGGTATTGAAATTAAATCTCAAAATATGAGATTATTTCATATTTAAAATCTTGGCCGTGTCCAAGTAAAAATTTGGTGCCTTGTGCACCGGTATTTAATTCTAACGAAAAATTATTTAGTTTCGTTAGGATAACGCATTGTCATCCGCGATTTGGCTCTTGTTGCCCGTCTTATACGTTAAATTTATATTTATATTACAGAGCCTTGTTAAAACTCTTATATTTGATACACGCTGGCTTAAAAAATGCGTTTGTTTACCAACATAAATATATAACAGAGAAAAGTATAGAATCGAAAGGATCTGAATAGCTCAGCTGGAAGAGCAGTCGCCCGGCAAGTGAAAGGTCTCGGGTTCGATTCCCGATTCAGCGATTTTCGGATCTATATTTTTCTCTTGCATTCATTTATTTATTTTCCGTAGGGGGTTAAAGGGGTATTGAAATTAAATCTCAAAATATGAGATTATTTCATATTTAAAATCTTGGCCGTGTCCAAGTAAAAATTGGTGCCTTGTGCACCGGTATTTAATTCTAACGAAAAATTATTTAGTTTCGTTAGGATAACGCATTGTCATCCGCGATTTGGCTCTTGTTGCCCGTCTTATACGTTAAATTTATATTTATATTACAGAGCCTTGTTAAAACTCTTATATTTGATACACGCTGGCTTAAAAAATGCGTTTGTTTACCAACATTAATATATATAACAGAGAAAAGTATAGAATCGAAAGGATCTGAATAGCTCAGCTGGAAGAGCAGTCGCCCGGCAAGTGAAAGGTCTCGGGTTCGATTCCCGATTCAGCGATTTTCGGATCTATATTTTTCTCTTGCATTCATTTATTTATTTTCCGTAGGGGGTTAAAGGGGTATTGAAATTAAATCTCAAAATATGAGATTATTTCATATTTAAAATCTTGGCCGTGTCCAAGTAAAAATTGGTGCCTTGTGCACCGGTATTTAATTCTAACGAAAAATTATTTAGTTTCGTTAGGATAACGCATTGTCATCCGCGATTTGGCTCTTGTTGCCCGTCTTATACGTTAAATTTATATAAATTATTTTTATTATTTTTTTATTTTTTTTATGAGTAATTTAATTTATTCTAGTTATTTTTGTACGAGAAAAATACTATCACGGGGATACGTTTTATACGAATTAAATATTTTATGTTCAAAAATTTATTTGACCTTTATTTTAATTTGTATTTTATTAAAATTAAAATTAACATATATACTTAATTGCGAATTATATGGATGAACAAAATTCCTATTATGTGTGTAAGAGATTTCGGAACTCTTTGCTAAAATAATTAAAATTAAAAGTCAATATAATTTTTGAACACTTTTATTATTAAAATATATAATTCGACTCTCAAAAATATTAATTCATTAAAAACGTATACGTATTAGTATAAATTTAACGTATAAGACGGGCAACAAGAGCCAAATCGCGGATGACAATGCGTTATCCTAACGAAACTAAATAATTTTTCGTTAGAATTAAATACCGGTGCACAAGGCACCAATTTTTACTTGGACACGGCCAAGATTTTAAATATGAAATAATCTCATATTTTGAGATTTATTTCAATACCCCTTTTAACCCCCCTACGGAAAATAAATAAATGAATGCAAGAGAAAAATATAGATCCGAAAATCGCTGACGGGAATCGAACCCGAGACCTTTCGCTTGCCGGGCGACTGCTCTTCCAGCTGAGCTATTCAGATCCTTTCGATTCTATACTTTCTCTGTTATATATATTAATGTTGGTTGTAAACAAACGCATTTTTAAGCCAGCGTGTATCAAATATAAGAGTTTTAACAAGGCTCTGTAATATAAATATAAATTTAACGTATAAGACGGCAACAAGAGCCAAATCGCGGATGACAATGCGTATCCTAACGAAACTAAATAATTAGGATAACGCATTGTCATCCGCGATTTGGCTCTTGTTGCCCGTCTTATACGTTAAATTTATATTTATATTACAGAGCCTTGTTAAAACTCTTATATTTGATACACGCTGGCTTAAAAATGCGTTTGTTTACCACATTAATATAATAACAGAGAAAAGTATAGAATCGAAAGGATCTGAATAGCTCAGCTGGAAGAGCAGTCGCCCGGCAAGCGAAAGGTCTCGGGTTCGATTCCCGATTCAGCGATTTTCGGATCTATATTTTTCTCTTGCATTCATTTATTTATTTTCCGTAGGGGGTTAAAAGGGGTATTGAAATTAAATCTCAAAAATGAGATTATTTCATATTTAAAATCTTGGCCGTGTCCAAGTAAAATTTTTGGTGCCTTGTGCACCGGTATTTAATTCTAACGAAAATTATTTAGTTTCGTTAGGATAACGCATTGTCATCCGCGATTTGGCTTTGTTGCCCGTCTTATACGTAAATTTATATTTATATTACAGAGCCTTGTTAAAACTCTTATATTGTATACGTATTAAAATTTTTCACATATTAAATGATTAGAATAAATAAATTAATTATTAAAAAACTAAAAATTAATTAAACGACTTAGACTTACTGATAATAATAATGAAACATTTATTAAAAATAATTTAATAGGTCAGTTAATATTTTTATTATTTATTTATTTATTTATTTATAACATCATAAAAATTCTGTTCTTTCTTTCCGAAATACGCGAACGCTACGAAAAATAATCTCGTACATGCCGCCGGATGATTCATGAGCATGAGACGCTCTTATCTTGGGAACGTATAATATTACTCATTTACCATACTACGATATGGCGCTGAAATCAGTGAGAAATCTGGCTCTCCTTCAATCCAGACCTTGGCGATCTGTCTATTAATCTGTGTCTGTGCTACGCTTACAGCTGTTTCTGTTTTCTGCGTCACTTCTCGAACGCCCTCTCGACAAATGTGACAGCGGTGCTCATTTCGTCTGCGGAAACCGCTGCGAAAACACAATACAATCATAGGACTTTTGTGCATTGTATGTTGCAATACTGCGCAGTGGAAATCACTTTGTATTACGCATTTCCGGGAAATTGATCAGATGCCGCGTTTTATAATAGAGACCACCTGTATGCAATAGCTGTGTTTCGTAATTTACTGTCAGCATGGGCGCCGGCAGAATGATTTTTACGAAGGTGCACCCAAAAGAGGATACACTGGAAAAACAGTTTTTTTCCCAGTTTATAATTATATTATTGTTAACATCATTTATGTTATTTATTGAATCTTAATAAAGATGCATTAATAATTGAAAAATTCTAATTTTTATATTGCAGATCTGTTAATATAGTTAAGAATTGCAGTTTCACAATTGCAAATAGTTATATTTAACCATCACATTTTTGTTCAATTAAAAAAATTATAATCGATATTATTCTATATTACATGATTTTTTTACTAAATATTTTCTCTGTTGCTTCCCCATTTATTTTATAAAACAGAGCCAGGAGGGTGCAAATGCACCGCCTTACACCCATCTTGCGGCGCCCATGACTGTCAGTATGTCATTTTTGTTCATCAAATGTCAGACAATGATAACATACTGACAGTAATTTCAAAATGCAGCTAATATATATCGGAGCAAATAATTTATCTTTTTAAACACTTTTCTAAAAATATATTCAATTATTTTTTAATACTTAAAAATGTAACGTTAATATTACATTTTTCTGTAAAAAATTATTCAAGTAAAAATAATATACAAGAAATCTATTTCTTACAAATTCTTGAAAATTTAAGATTAGGAATTTAGCTTTGCCAATAATTATTATTTATACATATAATTATTATTTCAATATGTTTTTTACAGAGTTTATAAATAAGATTATAAAATTACATATATATAATTGTTTACTGAAATTGGATAAAATATTTATTATAGTTGAAAAGGAAGTGGCAGTTTAGGAATATCATGTTTTATTTTTCATTAATTAATTTAATATGCAGTTAATTGAAATGTTTCAAAGAGTATGAATAAAAATTCTTGGAATAAATTATATATTATATATTATATATATTTTATTCGTCGTTACAAATGCATTGAACAATTCACATAAATATATAGTAGTGTTTTAAGTATTAAAAAATAAAGTAAAAATTAGCTTTAAAAAGACAAAGTTTTCACATTATGTCTGCTCTCTTTGGCTAATAATAGATTAAATTTTATCACCGATTTAATGCTGGCAATATGTGCATATCTTTTTATCATATTGTATATGTCACGCAGAATATATTTAAATCACGAAATATTCAGCCAGACTTTTATTGTTAAATATTTTCAAAGACTGCGCAAAACATTACAAAATATGCGAAATAACAGTTGAGATAACGGAAAATCGATACAATTCACTATCTATTTTATTAAATATAATTAAAATAAAAAAAAAAAAAGAAAAAGGATAATCGAAGAGATCACGAACATTTATTTATTACAATATTACATCAAGATATATTACACACGATAAGATATATGTTACATTACCTTACGAATTAAGTAATCCCGTAACGCTTGTTTTTAACATTAATAAAACTAAAGATAAAAATGACTCGTGAATTGTTAATATTAATTGGTAACTGTACACACATAGTCATTAAGTTTCGTGTAAAATATGTCAAAGTTTCATGTAAAATATATATAAGTCAATTTTGATTTAAAAAATTTTCGAGATATTGTATAAACAGAATTTCGACTTAAAAATTGCGTTACGAAATTATCACAGATCAAGCTGTGTATAATAGGAAGACACAGTGAGCAGACACTTTAACGAGATTTTAAAAACTCTTTTACGTACCTATTTATATCATAAATTTGCAACTAGATCATGCGTATCATCGTAATGCTCGATGAATCGGCGTTACTGCATGTGGTGGCACCTGGAATTTAAAAAGATTATTAATATTAAAATTAAAATTCATATTTTTAATTCCTTATCAATTAGTTATATGATATTAATAACGCAAGAAAAATCTACTTTTTGCAATATTAAATAATACTGACAAAATAACATTATATATAGTATCGTATTCTTTTTAAAAATTATCTTAAAAGTTATCTCTGTGTGTATAACATCTTAATATCTTCAAATAGATTTACCATTGCACCAATACGAGACAAATAACGGTTTCGTATACTGATATCAGATTGTGGTTGCATAAGACTGTCTGCTGAGAAATCCGATGTACATTCAGACGACAATAATTTTTCTCGCTCCAGACTCTCAGGCGTACATCGAAGTGTTTCATATCGTTCTCTTTGTCCTGGTGTCATGTTGAGATAACCACCACTTGTTGCTGTGTCCGACACCCAGATCGCACCAGCGGTTATCAACGAAACTGATTGCAACATGTAACAAATTTTGCGTTACAACTTACAATATATGAAAACGTGCGCGGACTATTCGAATTTCAAATTCCCAAAAAATACCCACTCCAAAGCCAACCCAGGAAGAACATTTCGAGCATTAAATACCCTCCTTTGTCGACAATTATGCCAGCTACAATGGATACTACAGCAAGACCTAAGTTTTGTACAGCTTGTGCTCTATAAGAGAACAGATTATACATAAATATTTTCTTTATCATTAAGTATTATTCCATAACGATAAATATACTTACATTCCATAAGCAGTACCAAGTTGATGCTCTGGTGTAACAAGAGCGATTAAAGGCCATAAACTGCTAGCAAGCATGGAATACGCCAATCCCATAAGAACCATACACACATAGGGATTCAAATAAGTAAAAGCAAGCAATCCATGTGCAAGGATAGTCACACAAATACTAATGAACACCCATGATACGTTTTTTCCTATTCTATCTACTAAGTAACCCAGAAGAGGTGATGCTATCGCCGATATTGAATAAACGAGAGAATTCACCGTGTTTGCAGCAGATGGATCGAATTTGTATTTCCGTTCGAAAAATACTCTGAAGAGAGAGAAAATTAACAAATTATTAATTATTTTTCTAATATGTAAATTTATAAATAAAAAGTCGAGCAAGAGTTAACTCCTACTCGGAATAAAATGAATCGAGTAATATAATATCGTTATCGACATTGTTCTAAAAAATATTTTATACGCTTGATTAATGTTATTTGAAAATATATTTGTTTATTATTCACTTACTTTCCTAATGCGATAAAGGGAAATATCGCAACATAATAAGCAATGCAAATGAGCGCAATCAACCAAAAGATCGGCTTGAAATCCTTCACGTCTTTCAAACTAACGACTTGCGGTTCTTGTCCCTCTCCTCGTCGGAGCAGTCTCTCGGCGCGTTTGTCCATAAAGGCTAATATACACGCGCATATCATCGACATTACGCAAGTTCCAGCAGCGAGGAAGAGAACTATGCCGATGCACTCTGGGCCCTTGTAATATTTAGATACATAATTGTATACTGGCTCCATTACCAAGAAGTTCACGGTCGATCCTACTCGCGCGAAGCTTAACTGCAGTCCAAACACCATGTTTAATTCTTTACCTTTGAACCACAAAACTGCATAACTGTTTTGGGCAACTGCTAACGACTCTGCGCCGATTCTGGGAAAGAAAAAGAAAGAAATAGTTTTCCATTCTATAATTTATAAAAGGATGCATAATAATTGTAATACTTAAACAGATACATACCCAAAGACAAATCGGCCGAGCATCATTAGCCAAAAAGTATCAACCATAGCACCAGTTGCAAAAATAATTTGACCAATTAATGTAAGTCCCATATATATCACAGTACCTAGCCGAATTCCAAAGACACTGTCCAACAAAAATCCACCAATGAAGCAGAGAATGACATTCGGCCAGGAATATATGGAATATAGCAAAACAAATGTGCTAGTTGACATATGTAAGTCAGTTTTAAAATTGTCCTGCAGTGCTCCAGGATTATCAAAACAAAAGTACGATCCTGAAATAGAAGATATATATCAATTGAAATATTTGCTAGAATATAATTTTGTAAAAAAACACATTTTTTAAAAGAAATTTATACACTTCTATGATTAAATAAATTAAAATTTACTAAAAGTTAAAGTTCATTAAATGTAGGTATTATAACATTTGCATAATTCCATTATGCGTCATAGATTCTAATATCATTTACATAACATATGGCAAACATTGAAAAAAGAAACGTGATAAACCATACAAAGACAGTATTCATGATACGTCTTATCTAAACAGTGTCAAATTTTTCTCTAATTAATAGCAAGAAAACAAAATAGATGCAAACAATTCCATTCACCTAATTTTTTTTATTGTTTGTTTCTCGCTCTATTTTTAATTTTGGCTATTAAATTGCAACTAATTTTTTTTTATAAATGTACAAAAAGACAAACAGAATATATCAAATAACTATTACTTATTTATTACGTTTCTTTTTCTATCTACAATATGTTCCCATATGTAGCGATAGATACTTTATGCTTTGAGCATAATGTGTAAAAAATTAAAGCATTAATTTTAATAGTTATGTAGTAATTTAATAGTTAAAATAATATTAAGTGTGTACTATGCATAACTATTAAAACTAATGTTTAAAACAATTTTTTATACATTATACTATTATACTGAAAACATAATGTGCCTATCCCTACCTATATATCAAATATTATAAATCTTAATATTAAATGTTACATATAAAATTCAATTTTAAAAAATGTATAATATTGCTCAAATAAAACTCAAGAATTAGACAATTTTGTTCAGAATAAAATGCATCTTTAAATAAAGATATGTCAGGTAATATAAGAATACAAAAGAACGCAAGAGACAAACAGATTTGAAACGCGACATGCAATCTAGCGAAAGTAAACAAAATATTCAATGTGTCTTGTTATCGTCGCGATAGCAATTCGCTCTTTTGACAGTGACACCATTTCAGCTATACGATGACAGATAAAACAATGCGTAAACAACGGATTCGCGAAGTTCATACCGAATCCGAGTAGACACATAAGCGCCAGGCCCAAAAATCGGTATGGCATTTTCTTGGGGCTGCAACATCCTTGCAGGGCTATCTCGTCCTCGGACCTATCCATCTCGGTACTAATAGAATTTTCCGCTACGCCTCCCTCCATGCCTCGTTGTTATGGTCTGCTGCTTTGTTGTCGTCGAATATCAGATCAGAACTTACACGTTATGTCAAAGTCGAATTCAAACAATCTGGTGTCTTGCGGGACGCGCAGTGGTCTCGTTTCCCTTCTTTTCACATCGCACGATTACACGAACGAGAAACGATGCCGATAAACTATTCCGAGCGCATCCCGCAGCAACCGAATACCATTGTTGATTAATCTGTTAGGCGACGCGCTTATGTGTCATCCAGCATCCCATCCCACCCGAGAATCAGCTGCGCGCGATAGAGTCCCTAGAGAGGCGCATACCAACGGCACGAAACGAAATAACTATTAATTTTTCTTACATTAGTGTTTTTTTTATGATAAAGAAAAAAAACATTAAAAAAATACAATTTATTGCATATAAATTTTTAAAGCAAAAATATTTCGACGTTACACAACTATAAAAATCTCACAATTTTTAAACTTATTATTATTGCTCAATAGCATTGATATACGTATATATTACTTAAATTTTTGATAGAGCATTTTAATAGAAACAGAAAAATAAATATGTAAATAAATTTTGTAAAATATCTCTATCCATAAAGAATCATATTTTACGATTATTGCAGTTCCATTATACTTTTCTGAATGTTGTAAACTATGCTTATTTCCTCAAATAAAGATAAACTTCCTATAATAAAAATTACACACTAATCTATATGTATTTGTTAATCTATATGTACACTAGCAATACTGCGTTAGTGCGCTATAAAAATTATAGTCAAAAATAAACTAGTATACATTTTGCAAATAAAAATTGAAAATCCAAATATCTTTTTCAAGCTCATACGAAAACGATATGGTATTAAATTAGTTTCATACATTTGTTGTAAAAAGGTAACTTATGAGCTTATATGCGATCAAGATGCTTAAAACTAGTTAAAATTCGAACGATCAATGAACAATTAGATGATAGAAAACTTTGTATCGTCAAGTCCTTAGCTTAGTTTACTCAGTTAACTTAGGCGATAAGTTAACCAGTAACTTCCTCGGTAGCGCCTTCTTCGAATTCAAGTTTTACTTGACATTCCTCGGGAAGTCCTTCTACATCCACTTCCGTTTCAGGTGCGTTCAACATATTGAGCGTCACATCCGCCGATTTTCCTATCAAACTTTGATTTCCGGATGTGGACTGTTGCTTAACGACCTGTTGCTGAACTAATGTTGATTGTTGTGTCTGCTGAGGAAGCATCTGTTGTTGTCTAACGGATATTCCGGCTTCTTCGAATGCTTTCTTCTTCAAGGTAGTTCGTATCTGAGAACTGGAAAAGAGAGCAATACGTTTGCTGTAAAATTCGGGCTGACTGCCTCAATGGCAGCCTTTGAAAACTTACACCGTTCGACTCTTGATGTGTTCACTTATTTTGTTCAATTCTTCGCTGAAAGCCCTTACTGAGTGACGGAGCATCTCAATGTCCTCCTCAGTCCATTTACTACGCATCGAGGGGGACAAATTATGAAAAGAGCATGGGACTTGTAATAATACAGAATAATACTCTGATGGTGTACACTGCAAATTTGTTGGAAACAAGAAAAAGCTACTTTGTGATGATTTTGGATACTTTGAAAAAATAACCTATTTATGCAATATAATAATCAACACTAATTGTTTAAATGGGAAAGAGCGAGTTTAAATTAATTTTTTAAATATTACAAAAATACATTCAATCATGTAATCGTAATCTATAGAATTAATGAAAAAGCTAAAAACTCCAAAAAAAAAATGTTTTTTTAAAAATTTTTTGATTTAATTATACTTCCTCGTTTAGTCTCATAAACATTTATAATTAATTTTCAAATTTAAATTGTAAAAATTATAATGAAAGCAGTATTTAAGTACTGCTAAATTAACACAAGACATCTTGTTTTTTGTAAATTTTATACTGAATCATTACTTCCTATCTTTTGCCATCTTCAAATAAAAGTTTGATGTACACAACCAAAAAATTATTCTGCACTATAAATTGCCATGATAATCATGACAAAAACTACAAATTTTTTATGTGATTCTTGCTTATTGATTAAAAATTTATACTTTTCTATCACTAAACAATATTCTATCTTATAGGTCGCGATCATATTTTTGATATTTAACATACCCTGCTAGCGAATCTGAAGTTGGATGCAGCTGCATTGTGAGTTCACCCAGCTTGTTGAAGGCGACACCAGCTGCAGTGAAGATTTCACCCACCTAAAAGCAAATTACTTGTTATTTTTATTCATTATATTATGGTTAATACTACAATGTTATAACTAAAAGCTACGTAAAGCTGTCTGTTAATTTTTCGAACGTTCTCTTTCTTACTAATCATAATTGTAACCAGATATAACAACACATAAATAGGAAGAAAAAAATTATTTAAAAAACCAGTAAACAGAATCTTAACCTGATGACACTGTATATTGTTTATTTTTCTTCTATAATCTGTAATATATTTTAAATACAATGCAATCTCCACACGAATATCTAGTGTATTAATTAAAATATTTTTTCACAAAAGTATATTAAAGAATAAATCAAACAAAATTTTTCAACATAACTTTGAAGAAAAACTTAATTCTGATACCGAGATAACCATTGGAGATTTTTCGCAACCTTATAACGCTTCATTGTGCACGACTCACAAGAGATTCGAAGCACAAAATACAAAGAAACTAACCGGAATCATCGATAATAACTTTTATACTCACTTTGCTCGCGGAGTTCATGTTGTTATTATTGTTGTTTGTTGTTAGTTTTCGAGTACGAGCGTTCTGAGACGACTGTGACATGGCGGCGAATTCGTTAGCACCATCTCTCATCTCTTTTGTGAACTACGTTCTCTAATTTTTTTTCTGTTTTACCGACACACCTTGTCTCTGTTATTATTTATTCATTATATCTTAATATTTAAAAATCGAGATTAATATGTTCCTTTTTGGAAATCTTAAAACATACATCTCGTTTATAATACATTTATATACGAATTAAATTTTGTTTTACCTTTTTCTTTACTAAATCTCGTATTAATTTTTTTTAATTATAACGTAATATAAATGTAGCAACTCGTTTTTAAAGCCTCTAAGTTTTTTGAGTCTCCAAAAAGGAGAGATCGTTATTTTCTTTCGTAAATCAAAAGCGTGCGTCCCCAATCGTTACACGCGGTGATGGTGACTTTTCGAAAATCGCACAGCCTTGTCAAAATGTCCTCTATATGCTGCGTCGGATCGCCGGTGTACTTTAGTTCCTTCAACAGCGGAAAGTCCTCCGATTTCACTCTTCGCAGCCTTCTCGACGCGTTTCTGTAACACTTCCAAGGTTGCGGCTCGACGACGATCATTTCCGACAGATCGCAAGCTTTTCGTAGAAATTCCTCCAGACCCTCATCGCCGTGATTCAGATGAATCCACATAGTGATCGAGAAGCAAAACACCACGTCGAATCGCGTCTTGTGAAGTTGCGCCAGATGCCTCCTCAAAGTCTCGCCGCAATCATCGGACAAAAAGTCCAGACACTCGAAGGTCAGACGATCCGGATGTGGATTGCTCTCGCGCGCTCTCTCGATCAAAATCGGATCGAGATCCACCCCGATTAAAGAGATCTCGGGACGATCCTGGGATATAGACTTCTCGAGGAAGTCGTATAACATGTATGTGAGATTCTGTAAAAACACCGAGAGTAGAATTAATCTAAATATGCAAGATATTTAAGTGAATTCTTTTAGAGTCACTACAGTGAGGGTCGAATTTAGAAAGTCATATATTTTGACTGAGAAAAAATTGCGTGCAAATTTTTTGCAATTTTATAAATTGTCATTATTAATTAAATTAGATTGATTTTTGCGTTAAGATAAACTATTGCATAATAAATTGATGGTTTATATATAAAATAATTCGATCTTATTTCAATTTAAAATAGTAATTAGATTAGTCAATGTCACGTCTTCTTAATATGATTTCTCCAATTATCCGAAAATAATCTCCGGTTAAAAGGAAACGTGCGACATTTGCGAGCGCAGCAATCCGTATAATTAGGAAAACGCGTTAGCTTTAATAGAGCCAGAGAGAAGAACGAACGCACGTACAGGAAATTTGTAAGAAGAAGGACAAAGAATACGAATTCCGGAAGCGGATGGCGCGCGGTCGGTACCTGAAAAGGGATAACTGCCCGACTCAAAATTAGACGCGCCGTTTGTAGTTTCGGATCACGAAGGCCAAGTCTCATCCCGTTTTGGACGTCCGACCCCGACATGACAGCTGTGCCGTTCTTACCCCGGCGTTACAGCCGACGTCTAGACCCGCGTATTTCCGGGCCGGATGAGCGTCCCGTCGCCGCTGCCACACGCCACCCGGAAGTTGCCGCACGCGCTCTTCCGCAGGATGGAATTGGTAATAATTCATAAAGTTCCCGTGTCTGATAGCGCCCGGATCCGTTTTCTCGCCGCTATTCCCGTCGTCGCTCATTGTGCATTTAAAAGAGAAAACAATCTGAAACACAACAAATATTAGAATATCGCGTGTGATTTTTTTACTTATATAAATATAAATACGATTAAAAATTACTCCTAATATGATCTACTTAATCTATTACATTCATATAGATCAATCTATTTTAATATTAAAATTTGTTTGCTAAAAAAGAAACATATTGTATGTACACGTATCATTTTAGAAATAAATAATGGAATTAAAATAATTTTTTATTTTTGAGTGTATAAGATATAGAAAAAAATCCACAGAAATTTTAGGACACATCTGTGATTTAAAAAATTAAGATATTTAATGTGAAAAAATTTTTATCACAATTCATTTTTTTCTCAATGTATGACACAAATGTGGTACAATGTTGCGTATCATACTGCAATAGTATATATGTATGTATATGATTGTGGGTGACGATGGCAATGACAACGTTAACAAGCGACAAAGAGGCGGAGAGTATTAAAGAAGGAGAGAGAAAGAGGGGAAAAAGAGAACAGAAACTGTGAGAGAAGGTCAGGGGGACCAAGAGCGGAAGAATTGAACGTTAATTCGTTGGTGTCCGCGACCTAAATAATCGTAACCTTCGATTGAGACGACGAAGCGTGGAAAATTATCGATGAATTATTTTAGCTGTGAATAATCTGTCATTGACGACTCTAAAAAAATCGAAAAGCAATATTCAAGAAATACTGAAGAAATTATCGAAGCTAAACAAGATGTTAAAAAATAGAGTAAATATATAGAGAAAATTAAAATAATTTAATATAATAAAAAATTATTTTGTATAAAACACTAATATTCTTATTTTATCCATTATTAAAGATTGAGAAGCTATTGTAGTGTGAAGGAGATGTGAGATTTTATCAATAATGGAGGATTACTTTATAGTGTAATATGTTAATATATGTAATATTATATATATTTCAGGATTGAAAATATTCTACTGAACATGGAATTGCACATAAATGCTAGTAATGTATAAATGTGATTTTTGCATAAAAATAGAAATTTTACCAATATTTATTTTATTTTAATGACAGTGATAATTAAGTAATTTTTCCAGTTTTGAACAAGTTTCCATGTAAAAGTAGTATTACATGGATTTTTTTCAGTGGATTAAAATTTTTGTGTATCGAGAGAAAATTATTATTATTAAAAATATATATTATAAAGAATATTTCTTTAATTCCAAAATATACATTTAGAAAAACATCGTATTAAGATTTCTAATCTTTACAAGTAGACTTGTGTCACTTTTGCGATTTATCCTTGATCCGTTTCGTTCCTCTATTTATTAGTTTGCCAATGTCCAACAAAGAGAGCAAGCAGATAATCCGAAAAAAAAAAACATGCATCCGTCGAGCAGCAAATCGCTTTTCCGTCTATAGGTATACCCTCACAAATGTTTTTGTAAAGAATCACACAGAGGACAATAATAAATCTTCTTAAAAGGCGACTTTCCGCCGCGAAGATTCGGTAAATATTGAATTCGACGCGGCACAACAGGGAGGCGGTCCATCGATCTTTCGTTCTCGTTGCCAAATCTTTTCGAGGCATGTATACAGATTGCTAAATCCGAGATCGTGAGGGCACGGCACACGCGTGCGAGCAGCTCATGTTATGTGCTCACGATTGTATGTACATGTACCAACATATTACCACATTGTGTTTTTATGTACCTGGCGCGGTAGAATTTATCGGATTATAAGAAGGCGACTGGATTTCAGGCCTCCTTGCGCCTTCGTGAGAACAGATAGGCGAGCCCCTCGTTGTTTTATGTGCTCCGATTCGTGAAGAAATTGCTCGTTATCTTGCGCAATCATATATTTTGTCAGCGTTAATCGTAATCATCGTAGTTGTATATGCGGGCTCTAATTACTCCCGTGTCCGCGATTACGGTAATTAGCCGAATAATTCCGGACTTGTATGGCGATTTAGCGCGGAATTTCTTGCGGGAGAGAATATAATGACTGTCTCTCTATATATTGTCGATTGCAACGAGTATTATGACCTGCCTGTATATACATCTGCGCGTGGATTGCATCAGTGACATTGGCGCTGATATGGCCTCATTTGCGTCACAGATGCATGTATATGCGTGTTAGTTGAAAAAAATCACCCATCAGAGATTTTAATTTCTCAATTGTCGTCGCGCATCTCGGATTTATTCGAGTACTAATTATTACTATACTAAAAAAAATGATTTATTAATCTGACTAAACCTTTCAACTAAATTATTATTTTGTTAATTGAACATGTATCAGTATTTAAATATATTGTACATATTAGTAGATTTAATGTTATATTTTAATTTAAATATTTCTATATGTTCAATTTACAAAATAATATTTAGTTGAAAGATTTAGTCAAGTTAACAATTTTTTTTCAGTGTACAAATTAAAGAAACGAGAAAACAATAATGATCTCTATGCTTTTTTTCAAATAAATGCATCTAGATACATGGATGTTCATAACAAAATTGGCAGATTAATTTGGCATAAATATATCTTTTAAAATTTATATAGGGAATGTATCGTCTAAGACGGTCAAATAAAAAGTTGTACGATAAAAATATTATATCGCAAATATATATTGCTGACACGCGAACATGCGAAATGGATTAGTATTGTTCGCGCGCATTCTTACGAAATGTAGAATGTTCGGTAGAAACGTCTCACGACACGGGACAATGAACTCACGTGTGTCGTCACACGTGCCGTATAAATGACACGATCGCGATTAGTCATCTGAAATCTACATCATCTTCGATCTCGAAAGGGAACGCCTAAGGGCATTCTCTGTCGCAATAAACCATCATCTTAAGCAACGCGCGCATAAAAATCCTGAGATAATTTGTCTCACTCGTGAGATCGGTTTCTTCTTAAAGCATGGTCTTTATAATGATTTTTTCGTCATTAGACACCAATTGATTTATCCAAAAAGTTCACAAAGAATTCCTTAATCCGTCTATAATTTAGAAACAGCGAAATGTGAAAACAGCAGATGCATAATTCATATATGTTTCTTTCAACGAATAAAAGATTCGGGTATTTGAAAAAATTATAATAGCAATCTTATAACGACAAAACGTCTCATGATCACCCTTCTTAAAATATTCCCATGATTTATATTCATCTTAAAATATTCGTCGACAATTGGCTAAGAAAACTTACTATATTATATGCGTCTTTCGCATATATAAGAATACATAAGCAAAGGGGTAAGCATCTCTTTTCTCATACACAGCGCGTGGTCGATCGGAAACCGGTCAATGGCATGAAAAAAAGAGCGGAAAGGGGCAGCTGCATGGACCTTTTTGCTCTGCGAGCCCTTCTTTCTTGCCTCGAAAAATCGTGATGCTGGCCAGAAGTTCGCTTGGAGCAGGTAAAGTAAAATATGTCCCGGAAGTCGGTCGTAAAGCGATCCATTACCGCGTACATCCGGCGCATTCATTCGTCGTTTTTTCCGCGGGTCCATTCATAGTAAATCCGCTTTTTCCGGATTTTCGTGTTCTATGCTCTGGGCTACAAACAAATCGACGCTGGGATCTCACCGAAATCTCCCGCTACAAAGGTCGACACCTTGTTTAAGCCGCTTCGAAAGAGGCGTTTCGGGGTGGGTATACGGTTATCTGGAAAAATATCGGTATTACTTGGAGAGAACGATTGCCGCCACGTGCGTGCATCTTTCGATTCTGTGCATGAAGGATCGACCATGCAGTTAGCCGCGCAAACGACTTAATCCTTCATTCAATTTGACAGATTATACATATTTTTCTCCTCCATTTTTCGCAAAAATATCCCACTCAAAAATATTGTTTTGCTATACCGTCGAAAAAACATCTATAGATATCTATGACATTTTTAAAATAAATATATATATATATATGTAATATTATTTCTCTTGATTAATAGATCGAATTACAAGGGAATGTAAAGATAAACGCTGCATCTTTTTAAAACTGCTTATCTCTCGAATGTTGCATTACATTAAAAAAAAAACGACATGTATATGTTATCTGTCTTCCTGTTTACATTTCGCCGAAAACATAAAGACTAGCATTTATCGCGTTACGTAACGAAATTTCGCAAAGCCTATTAGAATTTTAATGACTGAATATTTCCTTGAAACAATGATGCTTTTGGATTTTCTGATGAGTCAAGATTTTAAAATTTTTATATACCATTCGTAGAGACATATAAATTAAAGTAAAAAAAATTGATATTTATACAAGAACGCTCAGTTAAAAATATAACGTATTATACTAATTATTGAATATTTTATTATTAATAAATATTTTTCAAGCTGACGATAGTCGTGACATTTTAGAAACGTTTAGATGTCTCCCTGGAATTCGTTTGTGCAAACACTGCATAACGTAACGTACCGGAAGCGTATCATATAGCGGATGACGCGACTTCCGGGACACGATCTTAAGAATTCCAATTTATCGCTCGGTATCGTCGAAATTCGTTTGCTCAGCCGCTTCCAGTATTTTTGTTGCTCATTGTTAGTTACCAGTCCGGTTTAAACTCGGTATTGTCGTCATTGCCACCGTTCCCGTTTTTATCAAAGAACGTTCTCGCATGTCCTAGAGCTTATCTGCCTGTGTAATTCGACGCAATTTTTCATCATCACGATAAAAGCATCGTGCCAAGAAATGGTGCCGTAGTTGACATTTTTGCACTTGATTAAAAATTTATGTTATAATTTTTTCTCGATTATGAAAAGCAGTGTTTCTATTTTCAAATTGATTTGTATTTGAAAATATATAACATAACGCTGTAATATTTGTCAAACAAAATCGAAAAATTTCATCATATAGAATTATAATGAGATAAATGTTTTTTTATATTAAAAAAAAAATTTTTTTAAAATACCAAACTAAAAAAAAATTTCATAATATCAGTATACATATATAACGCATGGCATAAGTTATTTACGCAAATAATGTTTTTTCTTTTACGTTTGTATGCTTAAAAACTTATCCTCGTTATTGAGATAAA